TCAATAAATAATAACAAAGTTAATTGTTGAATAAATATATAAAAAACATCTGAGATACGGAATTAATAACCTGTCGTGAAAGAGGAAAACTTACTTCAAAATATAAAACATCACTTTGTCTCGACTATTTAATTTAAAAAAAAAAACGGTAGTCTTCGTTAGCATAGATTAAAAAAAATTTAACTTATAATATGCCCGCGTTCATATAATTAAATAATTTAATATTCATTTTTCGTTATTATCAACACAAGTAAATTATCATCACAAGTATGCTTTTTTTTGCTATACATACAAACACTCCAATTTTATTAATATGCATAGAATATTCTTTTTAATAGAGATACAATTATATTAGGTTTGAACAATACAAAGGTCAGTGTAGTCGAAACAAACTAAAACAAGTTTCATCACGGACTTGTTAGGTTTTATATAGTAATTTTATTTTATTATTTATTATCATATTATAATACTATTTATATTTTTTTTAATTACTAATGTAGGTATTTTTCTTTATATATAAAGTTTTTTCTACACATTGATGATAATTTTAACTACCTACTTTAATGAATAAAGGCTAACCTTTTGGATAAATGTTGGCAATCTCAAACTGAATAAGCGAAAATAAAAGACGTAAGAACTTATTTATTTGGTAAATTATACGTCATGGATACGGATAGTGATTTGATTTTCTACTCTTACACAATACAACAGTAAAATAAACTGAAAAGCTGTTAAATTTTATTTGTAAAATCGATCAAAATCTCAAACATTGAAAAGGTTTTGAAAAGCAGTAAACATACAATGTTATGTAAACAAAACTATAAAATTATGCCAAGTTAGCGCTACAGCCTCAGAGCCATATGGAAAAAAACACAGTATTTTTTGTAAATATTTCTAAGCGTATTGGTTCTAAGTTCATAGTAATATTACGTAACTGGTTTCCGGTAAACTTGACCTTGCTTCAAGATCGATTTAATTATAAATAGCGATTGCAATAATTGAATTATGTGATGTATTGTTTTACACACAATAACCTATTTACTTCATTATATACAGATTTATACATAGTTAGAGTAACTTCACTAACTACTTTGTTTCTCAACATCCTTTTCGATTTATAAGAAGAACTTTAGCATAGGAAAGATTCATTCTACCAATATACTAACTGACATTTGAACGGGATGATATAAAAGGCGACAAACGACAATCTCGCTCAATCTTATTATCTTACCAATGTTATAAATGCGAATGTATGTTTGTTAGATGGTATCTCCAGAACGGCTGCATGGATATCGTTGAAATTTGGCACAGATGTAAAACATAGTCTAGAAGAACACATAGTTAACTAATGAAGTTTGTTTTTTTTTAATTATGCGCCGACGGAGACACGGGCAACTGCTAGTAATACTAGTAATACTGCTAATATAACTAGTAAGCCTAGCCTATAGAGGTCTTACTGGTTACGTATTAAATGAAATCTTTACCCCTTAGCGCCGTTCATCAAGCCATGCAAGGATGGCGACAATGCGTGCATCCTGGCATCCAGTCAGGCAGCAATTCCGTTGCTGGCGCCCGGCATGCCATCGCTCGGCGTCAAGTCGCTGGACCCGCTCAAGGTGCCGCGTATCACCAGCGACCAGGGTTCCCTGAAGCTCACCTTCACAGACACTATGCTCACTGGACTCAAGGGCTGCAAGATTGAAAGCATCAAGTATGTACAAGTATCTCTCTATCTCCCTCACACATAATTATATCTGTTGATCCTCACCTTTTTAATTTATAACATCTTAAGACACTCTCTAATACTTTTTCGTTTAGTTACCAGTGTGTGTTCAGAAAATTATGATAGACTGACATTTGCAACGTGACTTATTTCGAGAGAAATTTAAGAATAATCTTGTAGTAAAATAATGGCAAAATAATTTTTGATATCAGTGTAGTAGTTCTTATTTTTCTTTACATACAAAAATAAAAGCTTTTCTTTTTTATAATAATAGTATAGACATAGACTGCCTAAAAATATTAATGAGAATTTCCGAAACGAAAGATTTCTGTGTCATTTTATCAATGTCTTCATGTTTGTAGAGACAAAGTTTGTTGTTGGAACTTATGAAAGCAAACTTGTCTCTAGTAGATAGATATAATTAATTTAATATAAGAGAGAACTCAAATCAATCTGACTGCACGAGTACTAGTTGTTTTCCTCTTGAGCTCATCGCGTTCACCTTCACTAAGGTCTTCCTGGTCTTACATAAACACATTGCAATTCCTTTTACTCCTTTAAGGATATAAATGATTAACGGTGACATTTTATAAATTCTTAAACAACTGGTAAAAACTATAATATTTTCATTGTCAAGAAAGCAAACATAACGTGAAGAAAACTACACTTTAAATTTATTATATTCATTTTAATAATATAAAGGTGCTAATTGTTTCATTTGAATTTATCTAGCTTGCTAAACAACATTTTTGGTATTATATTATTTCAAAAATAACTAATAGCCAATAGCTATGAGCAATTCAACATAATAACAATAGTTATCACAGTTTTTTCAGATGCAATGAAGAAAATTATACTATGTCCGGGCGCTATTAGCGTAAATCGTAACCTACCTCAAGTTGATTCGATTAATAATAAATAGATTGTAATAAAAAAAACAATGATGACATTTTAATAAGAGACTTAATGCAAAAAAAGTCAATGCTACAGGATTAATAAACCATTGTATCTAACATCCTTATATAATAGAATTTTATTTTTATTTAATCTAAATAAAATAAAATTAATTAGTTATCATGTTCGATATAATAGAAAATTCATTTTAACTGCAATAATTCATTCATTCGTTAATACTTTTTAATATGTTAATTTTTTTCCATTATTAGAACGACGACAATAAAACTACATATTTTTCTTTTTAAACTGTGCTATTCTTTGCTCATTGTCAAGGTCAAAGATTAACACACAATTATTACAGATTATACAGATAGCCACTTAATAATTCCTATTACGGAACTCAGGATTAATAAATCGGACATTAATTGCAGTTGGTAACATTGTTTCTAGATAATAATTGAATTGTCCATACAAGCTATTACTTTCCTATTTTACCTACCAAGTCAGTAATGGAGAAAAGAGTTAAAGGCTTGGAATATTATTTTCGTTCTGTCTATTTCTTTCCCTAATTGATCTAAGTATCAAGATTTTTTTTTTAATTTTTTCAGTTTTTTTTTCATAATTCGGCAAAATTTATTCATATCCTCGGAAGCTCCGCTAAAATGCCCAAGTTCAATGTTCACCTTTGCACCGCCGACCGCGCAGTTTTACGCCAATTTATCTTTTTGTCCTTCCGTATTGTTTGTAAGCAACTTCAAATGTGTCTCAAGTCTAAACTCTACCACTTTCTTTCACGTACCAGAGCAATAATTGAATGCATTAATTTGTGCGAGTAATTTACCTTGATTAGATTATACAAAACATTTATTGCTTCAATTTAATTGTATGCAACAAGTAAGAAATTAAAACAGTGTATATGGATAAGATTTTTGGTGATTTTTGGTTGACCACGTATGAATTTTTTAAAGAGAATTTAAAAATACAATGTTTGTATGCAGACACGACCGCGTCAAGGGCAAGCAGACACTGGTGTTGCGCTGCGACATGGTGCTGGACGGCGATTACGTACTGGACGGGCAGCTGCTCATCCTGCCCGTGCAGGGCAAGGGCCGCTACAAGATTGACATCCGTGAGTACTTTTATCTGTGATCAGTAAATGATAACTAACTGTGCAATAATATATAGACAACAACATTTAGGTATTTTGAGATAGGGGTATCTCCTATCCCCCTTTGAACCTGCTTTGAACCCTGCAAAACATGGATTTAAGGAGTCAGCAATTGCATTTTACATTTATGATGTGAAATGATTATATATTTTATGTAAAAATATTCTTTACTAAAAGATTGTTCACTGCTCTATTAAAAATGTTTTTCACTTTCACAGGTGACATCGTAATAAAGACGGTAACCGACCTGACGACAGAGCAGGGGCCAGACGGCAAGGAGCACTGGAAGATCGTCAAGTGGCGCGACTCCTTCCAGGTCAAGACCGGGGTCAAGTTCCATTTCGACAATCTCTTCAATGGAAACAAAGTTCTAGGTAAATATAGCTGTGAAAATTGACTAATTTAGGTTAGGTACTTGATTCTAAAAACGTATCGACGGAATTAATTTTCAAAAGGTTCAAATCAATACGGTTTACATTTCATCTTTAACCTTGATAATTTAATTCCGTTAACTTTGATAATAACCTACCGGAATATATTTACAGCCGATCCAGTCATAGAATTCGCGAACACAAATTGGAACGATGTTATGCAAGAGATAGCGCCGCCGATCGTTCACACGATCATCGCCGCCGTCTTCAAGGAAATCGAATCCCTGTACAAGGCAGTGCCTGCTGATGAACTTTACATCCCTTGAAGATTTTACAGCTAAATCACTTTAGGTTATTGTAAATAGTATTGTACAGCGATTTGTGATGGTAGGTTAAGTTTCGGTTGCTGATAAAGCAATCACATAAAAATTATACAAAAAATGTTCAACTTTTATTTTACCCTTGAAGTTTGAAGCTGTATACTGTAACACAACCGAATTAAGGCTTGGTTACCCACCTACCAAGGAAAATAGCTGAACCAGGCCGTAAAATTTTCAAAAAAATTAGGTCATAGACATTGATTAATCAATTTTTGTTCACCGTCATACAGATTACAGATAAGATATACAAATTGGCTTAAAAGCATAATAACTAGGCTATAGAATTTAAAAAAAAAGTTTCAAATAAATGACATTGACAGTAACTGACTTTGACATTGACATTGTTTTTAATAAATTAAATTGTCACTAATTTATGTATTGAGTTTTGTGTCATTGATTTGATTTTGAATCTGAACATTTAAGAATTATTGATTTTAAGAAATTATACTTTCATATGTACTAGTCTTCAATATGCTCTCTCCAGAAATAAGCAATTTTCCCTCACCCAAAGTTATTATTGTTCACAATACTAACCAAAACATAGACTCCGTTACTAAAACTATTAAAGTAAATAGTTTCTATAAAAGCGTTATTATTACTTGTCCGGATGAGACAAATGTCCCGAGTTCTCTTGAGGAAATAATCACCGAAGACAGCGATTCTTACAAGTTAAGTGGTTGTCCTCTTACAGAATTTCTAGATAATGTGTTTATTGAAAGTTTTGTCAAAAATGGAAGTTTGTATTGTTTATCCGCTGACAGGAACTGCGTTGTTAAAAACTGTGCAGCTATCACACCAGATGGCATTCTAACCATACATGTTATAGAGCATACATACCAGACTCTTGGTCTTGAAGGATCAAAGCGTCCACACAATTATTACGAGGTTAGTATTGATTTAAAAAACATCAGGAATATTGACCGAGTCAAACAAGGTTTACGCAAATTGGGTACCTTTGATTTTCACATATATTGGGAACCAAATTCAGAAGATGTTTGTCCGTCAACCGTAGCAAGATATTTCCATGACAAGAATGTAGATGTAACACTTTGCTCTCTTAAAATGAAGAAGCTGTCACCACAAATAACTCAAGTACCTTCTCTGGAAGATGTGGAAATTGAAGAAATTGTTGAATGGGTCGGAATGTTGTGTCACAATGCTAATTTGAGTCCTGATGATTCATATATAAGCACTTACAGTGAACCTGAGTGCAGTACTCCGTTAGAAACAACAAGAATAGCTTTGCTTGTTGTTAAAGGATTTTTAACATCTACACTTATTGTAGAATTGTGTAATAAGTTGTCAGAATATGTATCAAGCAGATCGTTGAGCAACTACTGGGCGTGTCTCAGTGTACAGAGTGAGGACACCCTGCGACGATGGAACAACTGCACACCTAGAACATTTTTGCCTCACAACACATCGGATAACATATTTTTTACACAAGAAGGCCATATTACATATACAATGGGTCAATTAAAATATTCATAAATTATTAGCTTGTTATTTCTTAACTGAACATTATCTATTGTATTATCCTTACTATTTACCTGCTCTCAGTAATGCTACATCAAATATCTTTATATCTGGATGTTTCAACAGGATTTACATAAATAGATAGTGTCATCTATTTCTACAAACTGTCAGTAAATGTATGTAATGCTAATATCTTATATCATACATCAATTAAAATGGTTATTTTTAAATTATTTTCATTAGTAGCAGTTTCTTGATGGTAACATGGTGGTACACTTTAAATCCCGATTATATCTTGAACAATAACAATGTTTTTTATCAAAAACATCTATACTGTTTTTTTTTCTTAAATGAAACTATCAATTCTAGTTATAAATATTTATTGAAAACAAAATAAGCATACAGTTCAAACAACAATGTTCCCTACACCTCACCGAGGGGGCCGCCAACACTGGATTATAGCAATAGTATTGCTTCAAGGAATGCACAAATCTATTTTAGCATTAAATGAATAATGTGAGACTATATTCATTTATAATGACAGATTCAGTACCTACAACAGTTGTGAAAATGTGGTCCAAATATTACACATCCTTGCATAGACAATAAATAAGTAGACAATTTCAACGAGAATAATTATAGAATTTATTTTTAAGTATATGCAACTGTTTGCCAGATTCTATAGCCAATATTTGGATCAACATACACCAAGGGATGTAATATCGGGTTTGTGCAAGTTAAGACTTGGCCAGGCCAATGACACCGCATGCGATGCGAGCGCCCGCGTTGCCGGTGGTCTTGCTGAGCTCATGCCCGCCAATACCGAGGTCATCAGGGTCGGCGTGCACCACCAGGGTGCGTCCGATGATGCTGTTGGGTCCACACAGGGAGATCTGAGAGTCTTGGATGCAAACCTACAACAAACATTCAGTTCAGTGTTACCTTAAATTACAACGAAATTTTTTGACACTTTGTTTTGTCAAGCTAGTACACTTGAAACGTAAAAAAATTACAGTAGCATAGAATATGTCATGTTTCTTATCAGCCTATAGCACCTTTATTAAAGCTTCAACTTATCTTCAATAGTGCTTTGCAGATCAAATTCCATTACCTATACTAAAATTTCACACTCAACACGTCACTAATCAACAATTTAAGTGTTGATTAAAATCTAAGAAAGACAGTTAGAGTAATTTTATTATGAGGGTGTTTTAACAGTCTTGATCTTTATAGTTTGAAAAAGATTGTGAAGAAGTGAGGGATGTACCTTGGTGACTCCACCATCAGCGGTGGCCTCAATGTTGCCGAGGTCGCCAACGTGGCGTATGGTGGCGTTGGGAGCGCCGTGCTCCTGCTTGTTGGGGTTAAAGTGGGCCCCAGCAGATGTGCAGCCGTTTGTGTTGTCACCAAACTCATGCACGTGGAAACCGTGTTTACCCTGAAAAAAACATACAAAAGTACATTAAAACACTATACCCACTGTATATATTTTACTAATAAGTGTTAACATTTGGATGTATGGATACTTGTTACTCCAGAACAGATTAAGGAATAAGGAAAAAATTTTAAATGGAGATTGATTTTAGAATTGCCTGTAGGCTACTAAGTTTTAATTTTATCCCACGCGAGTGATAGCTAATACTTTCATAGCTGTTTCCTATATGGAAGGTGAGTGTGGTAGTATCACATTTGGGGGCACTAGCACCAAATCAAGTACAGTTTTAGGGCAGCCGACTAGAATATTATGTAAAAAATCTATTGTTAAAAATGGTCTATCAGTTTGTGATAGCATGTGTTAATTACATTCAGTGAAGTATACAATGTAGTGCAGTATCCAAGAACTATGCAGACCGGATGTAATTATGACCAAATACGTTTCTAATAATGAAAAGACAGAGACAGGAATAGTCTAATTAATATTTATAATATTATGTATTCACGTATGTATTCAACTTTGTATCGCGCGTCACTATGGGTCGGGTGACCTTGTAAGATAATTAATCGATTTCTTAACTTTACGATTACACAGCATTATTTACTTTGATACTGTTTTTTGAATGAACTATAACACTTGAGTTTTGACACAAAATCCCTTAGTCATCATGAGATCTAAGATTTTACATAAACGGCAATGGTTGATATATTCATAGTCGCCTTGTGTTTAATCTTTTCGTAAAATGTGTTTTATTTTGGTTTTTACATGGTTATTTTGTTTATTACCAGAAACAAATATTAAGTGTAAACTATTAATGATCATGATGACATCATTTGAAATAAGAGATAAGGCTTTGTAATCATAAAAATATATTTATTCATATATTCAATATATAAAATATTAAAAGCCAAAAACCCCCACCTCTAAGGCCTATCCATTTTTTTCTAATAGAATGACATACTATTTATTTAGTAAAAAGTTAAATTTTATTTTATTATTAACATTATGATTGTTGAGTAAGAAATCATAATGACTACACATAGTTAAGAGATTGTATGTATTCAACATGACTTGAATTTATCTTCTGATAAGTATAAAATAAATGTAAATAGCATAGTTATTACTGAGTTAAATTGAGTATATAAGTTATCTTAAAACTTGAATAAACTTCAATTGAATTTATAACAAGTTGTGGAAAAATATATAACAACATAGTACTTATTATATGAGAGTAGTCAATAAATATCAAGGGCATTTGTTAACTATTTGATATGATAAAATAAACACCAAGCAAGACAACAGTAAATACAATATTTATTTATACTGACCTTTGCTAAGCCTGACACCTCTCCTGTCACCACCACTGGGGCTTTATCATTCTGGAAAAATAAAATGGTTTAAAAATAAAAACACTGACTCCATACAGGATAGTACGGTATAAGTATGTTGTGAAAAATGGTATACCAAAACTGCTACAATCAGTCAGTACATAATCATCAAGGGAATCACTTAGTGTAGTTTGTTATGAAAACTAGATTGAATCATTGCTAAGCATTATATGCCTGTGTGTTGCATTTAAGATAAATATGCAGTATGTTAGTAGGTAGGCCTAAAAGATTATGGATATAGCAGGTGCTTAAGTAAGGAGTTAAATCTTATTGATTTTTGGACTAATTCTACTAGATGAAGTAAGACATTTAAATCATTTGTTTAAAGGAATAGGTACTCATATTTAGGTATCTCTGAATAAAGGGGACCAAATTAAACCCTTAAAATATGAAAATAATGTTATACAATTAGGCAGTGTTATAGAACATGTATTTTTAAATTGTGCAAAATCAAGTGCACTTAGAGTGCATTACAAGGATAAATGTATAATATTAGTATGCGGTGCGGTTCTACCTATGTTGCCTCTACTTATAGTATAGGAATTGATAAGTAAAATGTACGAGGTATTGGAATAACAATATTACAAATCTTGAACCCTGTCACCTATTCAAGGGTATACTTTTCAAGGTCTAACGTTTTTGCAATTTTCAGGTATGAAATAAGTAGGTATACATACCTCTTGGCTGAAGAAAACAGTGCCTTTAACATCTCCATTCAATACGCAGACTGCTTTGGCCGGCATTTTGGATACAAACGGTAGTACCAAAAATTAGCGTTTTATTAGTGCAGCACTAATGTTTTTAAAGATGAAATTGCGGAAAAACTTTTGCTGTGACTTCTACTTCAACGCTTTGCGCAATAATGGAATGAAATAGGTCTGTGGTGGTCAACGATATTGAGATAAGAATAATAATTACAATAGTAGAAGTGAGTAGGAATGGGTAGAATCAGGTAGAAATTAGAATTCTAGAATTTTGTGTGACGTTTGCATTGATGCTGCCAGTATAAAAAAAAACATGTTTAGTGCTACTTGCTCACAGTGCGATATCCGACGAAATTAAAACTTAAATAATCTGGTCCAACGGGCTTTAAAGTGAAACTATCTTATTAGGGTTTCGCGTAGGTGTAAGGCATTATAGCTACTATAATAAATTAGGATAATATGTCATGTTTTCATTTTTATTACAAATCCTTTTATTCTATGCCCATGGCATCTACCGAGTTTGTTAGGGATGAGCCGTTGACGGTATTGGCGTCAACGAAACGAAACGGTTAATTCGCTTTTTTCAACTAGACGAAAAACTAGTAGATTTAGTCAACTAGTTTATCACACATTCAGTGAACAAAGACCTGAAGACTAGTGAACAAAAAATACAACCATTGATCCATTTGTAAATGTAAGTTAAATTTAATTAGTTAATTGGAAAACGTTCAACGGGTGAAAAGTTGGAGGTGAATGATCAACGGTTGATTAAACTCGTTCGTTGAAACAACGCCCATCTCTAATATTTTGTTCTTTTTTGTACTCTACTCTTTGTAGTGCCTATCAAATATCACATTTAAAATAAAAAAATATTTGAAATGATAGAAAAATACACTAATTTTCCTAAAGTTGATATATTCCATGGGTAATTACAACGAGAAGTTATTTTAATACTTCGGTCATAAAAAGGTGATTTTAAATTATATTTATAGTGTAATCAACTTTTGATCTTAATAACCTGTCATTAAGCCTATTATTCAAAACAATTGAATCTAGAAAGATTCTACATTTAAATAGTCACATTTATATTGTCACTCAGATCGGGAAAGTATTTAAATTTTGCTGAAAAAAGTATAAGCTTAAACTTTAAGCAATATTTACTAACCAAAGAACGTGTATACTTAAGGTTTTATGTTGGTGAATTTTACAGCTTCGGGTTGGTTTTAATGCTATTTTGATTTTAATGTGCCAAATAAATTTAAGTATAATTATTGTCAACCTTTGATAGGTGATAGCGATATAAGAAGACAACATTAGGTCGACGTCCCAGTGGGATAATAGCCAAAATATGTGCCTTTTAAGTCACGGATGCTGGGTTCGATTCCTGCCCGAGACTTATATAGCAGCATACAAACATTTGGTTATAGGCATGGGTGAGTTTAATGTATGTTGCTGAAGAAACAAGGGCTTATTGTTATGTTAAATAGATTTTTTGCCAACACTAGAGTTTTTTACATGATGCTATGAATGAAACAGATCCATGTTGAAAGAGGCACAACAGCACAGACAAATTCAAGCATGAAATTGATTATTTACTTGATGGATGTTGATTATTAGCTCATAAAAAAAACCTATTACTTGCATGTTTTCAAAATATTTTTTTACTTCTTTTTTAATATTTGTGTATGAAATCACATCAAACATGTCAACTGATATTTCTCATTACAGTATTGCAAGTATTTTGCTGGCTCACTAGAGGAATACAAAGGAAATCACTATCTTAAATTGTGAAGAAAATAAAACAGGGAGAGAAGAAAAGACTAATTTAATTATAGGATTTTATTAGCTAATTGTATTAAAGTAATATAAAATTTAACATTGGAAATGAAACATCTTTCAAGTTGATAAAATGCTTCATAAAAGACTAACAATGAGCATAGATAATCACTCCTGACAAAAAAAGCAAATGCTTTCTGCCAAGAGGATAGGAAGAGTGATTGCTTTTAAGACTATTTTCCTATTTTGAGCTTTAATAGCAATATTGATTTTGAATAAGTCTTATGATTAAAATGGATGCAATAGGTATGTATTAATTTTTTTTTATCATATTTATGAGAAATTTAATTCTATTATAATTTGTTTTGTTTCTTTTTTTCAGTCAACAACATGTATGACAATAATGCAAATAATGCAGAATTTTGTAAGGTAAGAAATGAGATTTGTTTAAAAGCTGATTGCCATTAATTAATAAAAAAAAAAAACAGCATTTATGAAAGAATGTTGAACATAATAACAGTCAATAATTATAATTTTCACAGATTATAAATATTATGACCAAATTTTTGGACAATTTTAAATGATTTTAATTTGTTACAGATGTGTCCTTTATGCAATAATCGAGTTAGGTTTTTCTATTTGGCAATAGATGAAAAGATATTGATGTGTGAAAATATAAAATGTGAATTTCCATTTGGTTACAATGATTTCAAAATTATCAAAGAAGAGGATGATATGTTTGAAATGAGCCAAAGGTCCACGAATACATCTCTCAAAAGTTGGCCAGATATTGATAGAAATGATTTGGAAAATCTAAACGATGTTAAATGTTTTAATGTCAATCATGAAGATAGTAATATTAAAGTTATAGAAGATAAAATTGCCAGTGAAAAAAAAATGGTTAAAGAATTAAACGCTTTAAAAGGTCTTACGAAGAAATTTAATGAAATCGAGGAAGATTCTGAAGAAATAATAAAAAATAAGAATTTTATTAGGAAATTGATGAAATTGCAAAAGTTATCTGGTGTTCAATTAGTTAAACAGGAAGAAATGGATGTGTTGAGACGCGACAAGCCTGGATATAAATCAGATGATCTAAAGATAGATATTGACACAAGTACTAATAATCTATGTGCAATCAAAATAGAAATCACACAAAATAAAATAGTACCAAATGTTACATAACCTATTATGTAACTATATATATATAAAATTTGAATTTTAAACTCGTAATGTGAGACTGTTTTTTACTAGTGCTTGCTAGAAAAGAAATGTATGTATTTCTCGACTCTGTGATTTTATTATAATATTAGTTGTAGATGTTGAGCGTGTTGCAAATTACGGTTTGTCAATTTTACAAAGTAATGTTTGCAAGTGGGAATAAAGAAGTTTTTGCATATATTTTTTATTTTATTTTTCGAACATACAGCAAATAGAGAAGGTAGATTATAGGTTTTTATATTAAAAGAAAGTTGATGTATGATGATAGCCAACAATTTTTCAAAAGCAACTGCAGATTTAATGTAGCGATGTTATCATTGGAACATGCGCATTTTGTTTACCTTTGGTTTTAACTGTTATTCACTTGTCTGAAACTTTTGGAAAAAAAAATATCTGAGAACTAGGAGCAGAGTGAGCCCAAACAAATCTACAATTAATATATACAAAAGAGATTGCTTACGCGGGAAAAGGTAGAGAATTTTCATCTCAATTTTGTTCCTAAATAGAACATTCGTTAGTTACAATCTCAACTAATGATTTTTAGCTTTTACGTTACGTCACTCAGATTCGTTTGAAAACAAAATATTACAATAGTAAATCAATTTAAAACAATAATGATGCCGAATCAATATTCGTTTTGGAAAGGCTCTGTGAGTGCAAGTGATGTAGACAGTAGGGCGCGTGTCGCGTGCGGAATTATATACGCTGTCTCAGATCTCAGCAGCTTACTTTCATCCGGCGCTCACGCTGAGAGGACATCGGAACTAGACCGATATGTTCTTGGATTTATAACTGTCTTAAGGTAAATTTAAATATATAAATATTGATTTACTTTATAATTTTAATTGGGTTAGGTTTTGCAATTGCGGTGTCTTTTTTAATATTATAATGTTAGAAAAATGTTTAGGTAATAATTTTTCATGTAGTAACTAGTGAATTCGCGCAAAGCTTTTAATTAAGCTATACCAATAATGGATTGATAAAAATACAAAGTGATAATCCAATAAGATCCAATCCCATAAGTTAGCGTTGCAATTTAAATAGGTTAAAGAATACTTTTTAGTTGGAAAATATCTGCGATGCGACAATATCCTCCTTACATTTACATCAAAATCTCTTTGTACCAAAAACCTTCATATTTGTTTTAACATTTTGAATCTACAGATGAGTTCAATGCTGTTGCTTGTTGTGTTACTGTGGGGTGGATCTCGCAGCGCTGTGGCGGTTAACGATGGTGAGTTGTCATTTCAAATATTATGTACCTAATATATTAAATGTCGGGGCCAGTTTCAGCATTTTCGGCGTCTTGGGCGAGATTTTTGGGGCGCCTACATTTTTTTGTGTCAGAGGAAGTCTTCCAAAGATACCTTAGGGGGTACTACAGGCGCCCTTTTTATGTTCGACACTGGCGCCTGCGGCATCCCTTTATGCCCGGCGCCCTGGGCGGTCACTCACCTCGCCCTACTCTAGCGCCGCTACTAAGACTAACACTGTTTACAGTTTTTTAGTACCAAGCAATTTCAAACGAAGGTTGTGCTCATTTGTTTCGTAACATTTGATCTCAAGCTGGATATAAAGCACTAATTTATTCGTCGTTAAATATCCACATATTTCTACATAAAGTTTCACTTTATACTATGTAAATAAGATACTATATAACACGCGTTATTTAATATTGACAAGTAATAATTTTACATCCATATATGTTACGGAAGTTCAGTATGAAAGGAGAAAGGTGGTTATTTGAATGCTTTTAAAATGTCATATAAGTAATTCAGTAATCATTAATGATGTGTGTTATTACGCGATGATAGAATATAAGTAATGCATTGGGGAAAAGTGGAGAAATTTGTGCCATTTGAAACTAATTGACGATGAGACGGTAACGGCGCTGAACTGATAGCATTTGTCACATCCGTTACCAGGGTTGACGCTTGTCGTTTACCGATTAAAATCGATCATGTGTTGGTTGATGATTGGCGAATAGTTCAATTCGTCAAATTATCATTAATGAAATTATTTGGTAGTATAAAAAAATAAAACTATATGTGAAACTAGGACTACGGTATAAGTGCTTAACAGATTAAATCTAAAAGTAGATATCTTGAATTCTATTACAATTATAATCAGTGATCTTAGATTTATCTAGGTCAAAATATCTAATTGTTATGATAAAAAAATCAATTATGGCACTGTATGTGACAGCCCTAATTAGAATATTGCGAGTAATCGAAAGCGAAGAGAAACAATTTTAGTGTCCACACTTACACATACATATCAGCAGCTTTCTCCATCAAAGTGACGACTCTGGAGAGTTTGCACAAACTTGTTTTATTTGCATACAAAACATTATGTAACAATGGTATCGATCTGATTTTATTATGACGTTTTTACATAACTAGATACATGAATTTACATTATTTTACTATTTTAGTGATTAGATATTGTCTTTTTTGGTTTATTTAAGAATAATTCCACCATTCATATCAATTTCTAATTTAATGTTTTTTACCATTTCCATAGATCTATCCAAATATTGGACGAAGGATTTCAAGGAAGTTTTACATTTGTATGGGAAAACATCGGACAAGGATTTGTATGGAGAAAGTTTACCTCCTTCTATGACATACAAAGCAGCGACTACTCAACGAAGCGAAATAATTTTAGAGCATACTGGAAATTACGATGCTAGCGACTTTGACCAATCCGGTTCAACATACCCCTATTTTAATCAAAAAAAGTATAAACAATCATTAAAACCGGCACAAAGTGTTAATTATTTCAGTTATTCTGAATCGAATGCAGCAAAACAAAACAATGATCAGCTAAATAACAAATATTTGAACCAAACACCACAACAAGGAAATCAAAATATTGATGTATCTTCCAAAATAAATTTGCAAGGTTTTCAACCTTATTTTAATAGAGAAAATGATTATACAAGAATACAAAATATTTTAAGCACAGAAAGGAATATTGGTACGGGAATAGTGATACCTGAAGATAACAGAATATACCGTAATAAAGCTAGGAATAAAGTGAGAGAGTACAAAGTGAACACATTTGACTCCCGAACAAAATGTCCGCCGACAATTTGTAGAAAGTTATCTAAAACAGCCAAAAGAATTTATTCAAGACCAGTGAAGAAGATTAAAAGAATCGTTGTGTACTAATTATTTAATTTTCTATTAATTGTAGTTTAATTATTTATTATAGTATGAATTATTAAATTTTTTGTTGGTGGCAATTACGTTTTTTTCTTAATTTTCATAATCTGTATTTCGGATTTATCTACAAAGACAAATGTGATATATGATTTTACTTCATCGTGATAAAATGATATTTAATGTTAGGAAGAAAATCCGAAAATGTAGCAGTGTATTGACCTAACATTAGCCTTACTAAAATGTCGACGTTTGTGTCCCCTCTCTATTCATTCTGACACTGGACATTGTAACGAAAGCATGTCATTCGCGCTAAAGGATTCTTATTAATAATGTCTAAAAATAGTTATAAGGATAATGAATTGAGAAATAAAAAAGTGTTACTTAAGTATTAAATTTAATAAATAGCACACACACAAAAGCAACTTAAAGCTAATTGTTTTCAGCTTAATTTTACGAAATGAAAATTAAGAAAAAACATTCTGTTGCATTATCACTCACGGCTTTGGTTTATTGTTTTGGATTTGCGGCCCACACTTTCATTTATGTTCGACAACTTTCGTGATTTCTTGAGACATTAACCCTAACTTGTTATTAACAAATATATTGCAGCATAGCTTATCCTAAATTTAACTTTTAGTTGTTATTATCTAGTAATTGAACACTATAATGCGTCCTCAGTGTTCAAATCTTAGATAATTAAAAACATTAATTTATCTATGGCACATAATCTACATGTCAAAGTTTATGTACCATACAGAATTATCAAATTCAGGATAAACTAAGTTCAAAGTCATCATGTCACGTTTTAAAATTATTTACAGAAAAAATTACGATCAAAATTAAAAAGTAACGTAACTCCCACTTAGAATCACGCAAAGTACATTTAATGGTCACTATAGGGAGATTACTCGTATTTAATTTAAGATACTTCCTTAGCGACCATTAAACGATTATGGGTGTCGCAGAAAGATGAATAGAACATTGCGTAAATCCCTGATCGGAATTTCAGTCAGTAATATTTAGTATATAAAGTTAGGGTTGGTATCGCTCTGTTTGCCGCGCGACGCCACAGGATTGTTGAGGGCCCTGTTCTTGCTATCCTCTACGCTGTGCAGTAGAAAAGGCGGCGCGTTGGCTCTCCTCTGCTGTCTGTGGTCCAGCTCGCGCGTCAGCTCCTCTACGAACTGCCCGCCCGTCTGCCTGGAGGAAACCAAGGGTTTATAAAATATCCAGAACAATCGTAACATGTGATAAACGTTACAAATCATTCCGCTATTAAAACTTTTTGTCATCCTTTATGCTTATTGTACGAAGATAAAGACACAGTGAACCGAATAACTCCGTGCTTTGCGAACCCCATTAAGTACACGCTAAATCATTTCTAATATAAAAATATCACAAAATCTTAGACAAACTATAATTATGGACGTTGTCTATGATATTTAGATAAACTGTAGTCTATGGTCTAAAGAGATATATTGTGCGTTACGTACCGCTCTGCGGGGCGGCCACTTTCTACGTCATCTTCAGCGCCCACGTACATGGAGTACCCGCGTCTCGACAGCTCCTCGTCAGGCACCAGCGACGGGTTGTTGAACGCGTAGTTCTTGTCGGGGTTCATCTTCAGCTTTCTGAGAAATAAAAGAACTTTATATATTAGTTGAAAAATTCTTTTCTACGATCCTACACGTAAGCCAATGTGGAACCATAGATTTCAAGTATGAAAAGGAGAAGGAATTGGATTTTGTAGTACTTCACTAACCAGCTGATATGTAGCCCTATAGTACAGATATAGCCTAACTTACTGCACCCTGAGGCGCCCGGTGGCCTGTATGTCAGCCAGCCTCTTTCGCAGACTTGCGACCTGCACGAACAGAACCATCACCAGCAATAGTAGCAACAGCCACGCTCCGCCAAAAACGCTTACTATTATTATCGTCTCTGTCTCCTGAAACACGCAAGAATTAATTAAAACATAGATATAATTGTTCAAGGAGTTTGCATTCTATTGTAACATCCTGTATCCTAAACATTTGTTCTATTTCACATACGATTAATATTTAGTTATCTGCATCACTCGTATGTATAACAAGTACATAGGTGCATAAACAACACTCGTATCACATAAAGTAGTGTCTGAGTCAGATGTTGTATCATTAAACACACATTACTAGAGCAATTAAGAACACGTAATTTGTAAAGAATTTAGAGTAATACAACATGATGAGAAGGCGACTAATCTCCAGTGATGCGACACATTGAGCGAGAATTGTATTTCAATCATCTGTTATCCATGATAGAATATCATTGTCTTTCTCCTTGCGATCTCCTATCTCGCTCGTGTAACGAAATGTGACATGAACATGACGCGCCCCTGCTTCATGTTGAGTTCTCATTCTATTATCAAAACAACGTTTAAATGTTTTACTTATTAATTCGCTATACAAGATTCTATTTGGAAGATATAAAGTACAACTAGGGCGCCGAGATGCTTAGTTTATTTACAAAACTTTTTAAAGGTAACTCATTTTTATGGTGTGTAGTGTAGACTGGAGCACGCAGCACCACTCAGGCGCGTCACCTGATAACACTCGATAAGCCCACACTTATCTCAAGAATTTTATAAAACCATTACTTGATCTGAACGTAACTCGCTGTTTATCCTAATGTGCCTATTGTGTTGTGTTTTCTATTCATAGTAATCGAATAGTTTCCCAGTGAATTTATCGATGACTACAGCAAAGTAAGCTGTAACAAAGTATTCAAAGGGTTTACGAACCCTGCTGACCCTAAACAACAATCAAGAACATAACCTTCGGTTTCCTCTGTCAAAAATAAATCGCCTTCTTCCTCAATTTCTTTTTAAAAACATAGACAACAACATTTTTTTTTGCTTCCGTAACAGTTGCAAACAACAAAGGAAAATTTGACGTCATTTACAGCTACTATTGAAAAGTTATAAACATTTTAAAAAGTATTTTTAGAGGTTATCATGAATAATTCAACTTATCATTTCATAGAACTAATATCGGAATTCTTTCATTATCTGATAATATTTATTTTTAATCTACTCTAGGAGCTGAATGTCTAATTATTGGGGGGAATCGGACAACTAGAAACATCAATAATAATGACAACAAATTATGTAACTCAGACTAAGATAGTTATTGCTAGTTTTTTCTAACGCGAAGTAACTGCTTACTTTGTTAATGTTAATGTATAGATTTGACATTAATACAATGTATTACTATTCTATACAATTATAAGAAATTCAAGCAGCATCAATATCCGTAATCTTTCTAATCAAAACAATAGACATTGTAGAAGTGCATATATCTATATTGTGTTGGGTAAAGTAATTTTTTCATAAAGAAAAATAAACAAATACCATTCACGAATATGCCTAACAAGGAAAATAACATAGCTAAACAAGAAAAACAATTTGTCTTCCAATAATTGAAATTATAAAGAAAAGTTATATGTAAACAAATGCATTGGTGATTTGTTATTTGTTATTAAAATCCATCTTATGTTACGAAATATCTTAGTTTTTTTAGGCGTCAGTTTTTGGCTCAGAAAGGTTGTTGTTTCAGGATTGGAGATGTTCATGTTTTTCACAAGTATGTTAGTTTTTTATGTATTTATGTTTGTTTTTACGTCAATTAAATTCTGAACTCCTGTTACCTACGCGAACCTACATATGTTGTGTTATATTGTTGTTTTTGTTGACTTTTTAATTAACAAAAAACGTTCAACTTTTAAGAGTAAATAATTCTAGTGGACTTTAAAAAAACTTTATTTTTTTTAGTAGCAGTAGTGTTAAATACTACTTTTATACACAAAACAACTTTTTTTTTGTATAAGAGGAGGGGGCTAACGAGCGGCGGGAACACCGAGGTGATCAACGACACCCATGGACATCTGCAGCATCAGAGGAACTGCAGATGCGTTATCAATTTTGTAGATCACAAGACAATCATAAATTGAGTAGCAAAATTTAAGAACATCGGACTAAAAGACACGTAGCATGGTTATTTTTTAATTAAATAAAACACCTTTTAATTAAAACACCTAAATTTATACTTTACTTAAAAACCGAAATAAATTTTCACTAGACAAAACATTAGCGATAACCGTCGCTTGATTGACGCAAAAAAACCCGTTAATTAGCGTTATCAAACAACAAGTAGAAGTTTTATAAGCTAACACAATTTAAGAATTAATGATTTTTTATATTAAATAGGTTTTGAATTATTATTGTTAACTCACCATTTTTCATGTGTGAGTTTCCATGACTGTGTGGTGCGGCGGACGACTGTCAAATGAGCGACTCTACTGATATGCATTATATTGATAAGACATCTCCTATCGCTACTGATAACAGATGATAACACGAACACCTTTATTCAGCCGACATATACTCTATAAGACAACTTTAACATACTATTTTGTATTTTTGAAAATCAACATTGACACCTCAATAAACTAATTTATGTAAAACTTATCATTTATTGGTTAGAATTATATATGTTTTTAAATTAAACGTTAGGTATTTATTCTTAGCGTATCTCTTGGATTGTTTTGCAAACGACTATTCTCTTACCTAAGCATGCCATGCTATGTATGTAATAAATGTAAATAATATAACTCATTTCCTCATGACAAGTAAGAATTATATTACTAATATTATAAATGCGAATGTATAGATGTATGTTTGATAAAAGGTATCTTCAGAACGGTTCAATGGATCTCTGGATGTAGAACATAGTCTGAAAGAACACATCGGCTATTACATAATTTGGTAATTAATTCTGCGCGGACGGAGTCGCGGGCGGTAACTAATAAATAATAATGTATAATTATCCATAATGTTTGTGGTTGCTACTTTGTTTGAGACGACGAGAGACGCCTACTCGATTATAAGAGTTGTTTAACATGATGGTGATTAGGCCTATAAATCCGAAGGCGCTCATAATTCCTAAATATTATGGAGGTGCAATATAGTAGAATTTTTAAAAGTATTTTAAAGCAAATTTATTTTAACATATATAGTTCAGTGAACTCACGATTCTCTTCGTTTTCCACGCACTTTAAGAAATATCTTAACAAATAAAGTACCATTATTTAATCAGGCGTTTTTTTTTGCAGCTAAACTACAGAGCACTTGTGTCTCGTCACTTGTCATTCGATAAACACAGGTAAACTGCATCAAATGAAGATTTACACTCTACCCTCGATTTGACATATTGTTAATATCAACTTGTGTCTTGTTTTTTTTTAATTTTATTTTATGATCTGGTAACATAGACCTTTAGGCCATATTTAATTTGGAAAATGTTCATTACTTTGGACTTGTGTCTTGGCAGCCGATGTAGGTACAGAGAATATTTATTATCTATGGTTTTAAGAGAGAATGGATACAGGATTTCACCAGTGGAAATATAATATAATTAAATTTATTTTGAGGTTTCTGATTATTAAGCATATTCTGAAATAGTCAGAAATTAAAGTTTAATACGCAATATTGTTAAAAAAATAATTATACGAAGATTGCAATTTTTATTCACTCTAACTAATAAGACGGTAATTATTAATAGGAGTGTTATTAATTATTAATCTAACGATTTGAAAAATATTATTCAAAAACAGATATAGTACACTGACATTACGAGTACATCACCTTTTTTATTACTTATTTTATAATCATTGTAACATAGTGTTATTGAAATGAAGGAACTATTAACATAGCTTATTAAACAACTTATTATAATAATAACAGCTATTATTAATAGTGCGTAAGAAAGTAATGCAATAATTGCATCCGCCTTCTTATATGTGTTGTTCTTTGCACCTGACTAACTGCGAAACCTAATAATCGGTATCATTCCATTTTCGTTGAACTATCTACTAACGTAAAATTAACCATGACTATTTGAAATCGACTGATTCATATAAAGTGTTAGGAAGAAATTCCGAAAATGAGCCAGTGTATTGACTCAACACTAGCCTTACTAAAATGTCGACGTTTATGTCACCTCACTATTCATTCTGACACTGGACTTTGTAACGAAAGCACGTCATTCGCGCCAAAGGTTTCTAAGTAATAATGTTAAAAAAAAAATTAAGTAAATGAATCTTTTGGTCGGTTATTGAGTATCGCCGTTTTTTCTAGGTTATATAAATTTATTAATAGTGATTATAATAACAATAAGTTGTAATAACAAAAGACGTCAGCCACAAGGATAGCTCGCTTATCGACAACTAACTAATTGATGCTATTATTAGTATGTAAAAACTGCCTACAATGAAATTAATTTGCATTTTTACATATTGACCTTTATAAAGTAATCTCAGAGGAATTTGTATTTAAATGATGTGCTGTTTATGGTTGAAGTTGGAAATATAAATAGTGTGAGAAGATAATTTTAAAATCTTTAATAAACTATTATATACTAGCTGTCTACCGCGACTCCGTCCGCGAGGAATAAAAAATACTTAATTAGTAGCCTATGTGTTCTTTCAGATTATGTTCAACATCAATGTCAAGTTTCAGCGATATCCATGCCGCTGTTCCGGAGATATCTTCAAACAAACATCCATACAAACATTCGGATTTATAATATTAGTAAGATTGATAGACAAATGATGTATTTAACAATAGCTTGCACTAGAAAAAGAATCGAACTTTGATATTTTTGAGGCAAAGGAATGTTTGGTTAATGCAAGGGCGCAGTTTGTGCCTACAATAGATGTTCGTGAGGATTTGGGTCAAGACGGTGCTTGTCAAATTAAATTATTTTTTTTTGCGGGGTCAGATGATATACTCAATACAGCATCATTATATCTATATATCTATTAATTTAGTTATTTCAATAAGTATGATTGTAGTTATTGTGTTGTTCACCTTGTTTTCTAATTTAGATTATATTATTTAATTCAGTTTATCATGTATAATGTATCTTTAATCAACAAAATTGAACTAAGTTAATTTACCTGAGGAATAATCTTACTAATATTATAATATAAATGCGAATTTTTAGATGTATGGATGGATATTTGTGATAAGGTTCAGAACATAGCTCCCTCAGAAATTTTGCATAGCACACTTAGGCTAGTAATTAAGTTTGTTTTTATTTAACGCGACAGGAATCGCGATTGACAGTTAGTATGTTAGGCCTAATTTAGTCCTCTTTCCCTTCCCATCCTTTTCTTTATAAGGAAATGATGGGAAGTGGAAGTGGACTTTCCGGATGAGAGGATGCATGAAAAGGGAAGATATTTTCCTTTCTGTGCATCCTCTCCTCCGTCGATTTAAGGTAGGCCACGCATATGCAATTACGTATGTCTATGGGTAACGGTCGCTTCGCTATTGCAGCGATTTCAGGTGGCCGCTCGATCGTTTGCCACCTTTTGATATAAAAAAAATGTAGTATAATAATTATGTGATCAAAAATTAAAAATAAAAGTTATAAATGCTCTATATATTAATTTTAATTATTTACCATTTGGATGACTACGATTTTACCCGTAAAAATATAAATTCCCCCTGGCTAGCTTAATTCTGTGATAAATCGAAATTTAAAAGTATTCAATTGCAAGTTATTAGTTGTGTCAATTAGAATACACGTTGAATGTTCTAAGACTTATCTCACAAAACTTTTAAACGGAACTAAAATTCATCACAACTTGTCCTATCTATATTCAAATGATATCTAGTGTCTATGGTATTTTGGTGCGTGACTCACGTATAGTCCGACAATGTTATCTGACCCGGTGGACATATGAATTGCAATAGTTCACTAGTACAATCTTGTAATGTCAAAAATTGCCACAAGATGCTTGTGACTGTGAAGAGCTACAAAGATGTAGAAAGACCGAAAAAATTATGGATGTGTTTTGTGAAGGATATGCGTTAAAAGAGAGTGAATTCAGATTAGACGGCTGATAGAGATGTATGGAGGAAGTACATACCGTGCCTATCCTCTGTAGGGATAATAGAAGATTAATGACGTGTAATTAACCGCGATATCAGCGCTTGTCAGCGGGCCAGTTAAGTTTGCCGCACTATTGCACCCTGCAGTGGCGAATCAAGGTGTGTCAGGGGTCAAATGTCACTGGTCATAGACAACAACTGGCTTCAACGATCGACCTTGTTGACCATGCCACCATGCCTATATAATATCGCATTTAAAACAATAAAATTGTTATAATCAAATTAAAAGAATCACGGAACTGTTTCAATGTAATTTTTTGTATATCAGATTAATTGGCCATTTAAAATTCTAGTTCTAATTTGAGTCGTTCTATAAGACGTAGTTACAGTAAAACAGGAAAATAAACAGTGTACCTTAGTTTTTTTACCACTTTAGTTGAAGATTTTAAGCCTAAATATTGCAGTTTCTTGTTCATTCATTTGTTTTTATGTTTCCCTAACAACCCTTTTCATATAGTTTCTGTAACAACACTGTTATGAATTCTTTCTTCATTCAAAGGTCATCTGTATTCTCTAATCATTATTAACGAACGAATTTCATCATTGTTCGTGATTTTAAAGTAAACTTAAAGATGTCTATAAGTTTCACTGCATAAGTTTGAGTAGACGTCGTCTGTGAAGTGGAGTGGCATCAAAGTCCACTGACTTCTTGACTTGATCAATACGCAATGTTCAGCGTTTGTGAAAGGAGATTTTGATTTGCAAACATCCTTAAGTATTTAAACGTAATTCTTAAAATAAATTAAAAGTGGATTTTACCATGTTGTTACCATTTTCAATTAAGTTTAACCCACGAGAAATCTACACTAAACAACTGTTTATATAGAAATTAAAGGTCTCTGAATATGACAGTTAAAGTTAGTTTGTTAAAGTGACAAGTGAATCACGAATGAATTTTGTTTTTTAAAGGACATGAATCATAAACATTTGGTCTATCTTGTGTAAGATGTTTTATTCACGAAACATATTTAATTGTGGCATCGTACGAGTTGTGTCTAATGCGTCTTTTGTTTAATGGAGCCTCTGATGGGGTCACGTTAATGCGATCTCTTGCAATTGTAAGGTTGCAGACATAGTGGGAGTACTAAATAAAAAATGTTTACAACATGCATTGTTAACAAATACAACAACAATATTATAGTTTTATAGTTAACTTTTAAAGATTTTTATTAGAATTAGTTTTGTTTTGTTATCGATTAGAAGAGTTTTCATAATTTAAGTGATCGTTGAATAAACACAGGTTGGACAATTTAGTCAAGAATGAGATTAGATTGATTTTAGGAAGGATTTTTTCTGTAAGGAAATAGTCTTTGGTTATATATTTTGTCCTTGCACCTTACACAATCACGCACACATTGAGATGATCTGA